TATTTGTTAAAGGCATTTCAGCAATTTGTCTCCAACATATGAAAAGATAAATCACCTAATTTATGCCACAGAAATGGAAATAGAAGAGTGCACTCAATGAAGTAGTGTTTTTGTAGTAACCACTAACAGAATTAATTTGCATACATGCGGTATGAGATTTTTCTAAGAGCTTTAAAAAATCATTCAAGTGATATTCTTTCTGCCACTTTATATCTTTGAAAGTCTTCATATTTAAAAGTATTCAGACACATTGAAAAAAAAGCTGGGATATAAAATGGATAAAACATAATATGGGTTTAATTGATTATGAATATAGGATAATTTTCACATTCCTTAATATTGCATTTTATATTTTTAAGCAATAGGTCTTTTGCATGTTTTTGAGAGTCTGCAGGTTTGACTTACCCTTCACTTCTATACATTCCTGAGTACCCAGACTTGTGTTAGCAGAAATCACTGTTCTTTAGTATACATTAGCATCTCAAATTAGGCTACATATTTTCATAAAAATAAGCTTTCTGCACAATGAAGAAGTTTAAGTTAAAAGTCTTGTTGCAATATAAAATGGTGATTGACTCAACATTGAACATATATTTAGCAATTATACACTGCATGTGTATGTGTATACCATGCAAATCTTCTATTTTTACCTTCTGTCATAAAATACATAACAAATAATCCAGCTTTCCTCTTCTGAGTATTCTACTTTCACTCATTTGACATTTATGATATCAGTCATTCAATGTCTTCTAGGTGCCAGGCACTTTCTAGACGCTAGGAGCACAACAGTGACCAAAATATGCCTTTGCCCAAGTTGATGCCTTAACGTCTAAGTTAAAAAGATTTCTTGTGATCTACCACTATGACTTTAATACAGTGAGTACATAATAGTCCAATTTAATAGGGAGCAAGATGTAATTTCTCATTGTCCTTATTGAACTTTTCTTCAGAAAACATGTCTGGCTTTTTTAGGTTCAAGTTTTAGTTAAATAATGACTCCTGTTATCTCTCTGCTATGTGTCTTCTTACTTTCTTATCCTACTCATCTTGTTTCCTTTCTAATAAAGTCTTAACTCAGTATAACATTAAATGTAGGCTTTTGCATAATTCTGATGCCAGATGAGCAACAGCTGAAAAGCAGGGAACAAATGGAGAACATGGTTTTCACCTTTTAAGGTGTTAAGTGTCTGAGCATTTAATGAATTCACTTATAAGATCCCTAATTTTATTAAGTAGTCAAACTCTTAGTCTTTTTTTCATTCATAATTCTGTTAAAGGCTGTTCATTCAGTAAATACTTAGTGAGTTCCTACTATAACTGGTCAATAAAGATATAAAGATTAAGGCATCATCTCTAGCCTCAAGAAGCTCATAGTCTTAGAAGAGACAAACAATAAACTGACAAGTGATAAATACAATGTGAGAGACAGAGTGGTCAGGGAAAATTTATGAGGAAGTTCATGTGTAGTAAGAATGCTTACTGGGAAGTGGAATATAAACTTAATCGAAAGGAGTGAAGATAGAGTAGCATGAGGAAAAGCAATGAGGCAATCAACAGCACTTTTCTTTTCCCCAGAAAATTATGAACAATTCCATGCTGATGAAGTATTAATAGAAAAAAGTAAAGATTAAGGCAGAGCATGGAGTGTCTCATATGCATTGTCAAGAAAATTGGACTTTTTCCTGTAGGGGATGGGAGATCATGAGCAGGTTCTAGGAAGAAGAGAGGAGAATCGTCAAACTCGTATTTTCTAGGTATGCATTTGAGCTAACTGAGATCAAAGGCAGGGAGAACAGTTGTGAGAACACTTCAGATGTTGAATTAAAAGATGCTGAGACCCTGAATTATGGTATTTGAAAATATGAGGAAAAACATTGGTCATAATTTAGTGACTGAATAGTTGTAGGAAAGAAGGAAATTGGACATATGGTCTCATATCGCTGTGGATGGGTGTAGGGGGTAAAAATGAAAAGTGCATTTTTTCCAATGAAGATCAGAGTTAAGTTAATGTGTGGCAAGAGCAAGGGTAGTTAATAAAATACACACGATTAAGAAGATGTTCTTGTTATCCCAATTTTATACTACACTATGCATTTTCAGCACAGAGGAATGCTTCTCATTTAAGCATGCAACTTTAGGGCTTTTACACTCATTTTTACCCTGGCTTTCTCTATTCCCTCAATGACATTTTATGCTGGAATCCTAAAATTTCTGTTTCTTTGTATTTTTTTTTAAGATTTTATTTATTTATTTGACAGAGACAGAGAGTGAGTACAAGCAGGGGGAGTGGCAGAGGGAGAGGGAGAAGCAGGCTTCCTAGCAGGGAGCCTGACGCAGGCTCGATCCCAGGATTCTGGGATCATGACCCGAGCCGAAGGCAGACGCTTAACCAACTGAGCCACCCAGGTGCCCCTTTCCTGTTTCTTTGAAATATATCCTTAGTTTTATAGTGTCTTCCTGTCTTTTGATTTAGTCTTAATATCTGATACTGTCTCTTGGATTATATTTGTCTCCCTGCTATGGCCTCTCCTGCCTGTCTTTGAACCACTCTGGGCCCTTGAGAACCCAGCCTGGTTCCAGTGTCCTGACCTTCTGCCTTTCGGTGAAGGGGATTTGGATTTTTTATTTATTATTATAATAATTATTATTGTTATCTTAGAAAGGGAAAAAGTAGGGGAGGGAGGGGAGAGAGAATCTTAAGCAGGCTCCCCACTCAGCACAGAACCCAAAGCAGGGCTTGATCTCACAACCCTGAGATCATGACTGAAGCCAAAGTCAAGAGTCCTATGCTTAGTGGACTGAGCCACCCATGCACCCTAGGGGATTTAGATTTAAAACAAATTCTGTAATCCAACAAAGAGATAAAGCAAAGCATATTGATAGATTAAAAAAAAAAACACATTATTTTATTTTTAAAAATACAACAAAAAATGAAGTTTAAATTGGGGTTCCCAAAGCAAAATAAATAAATAAATAAATGATATTCTTATTTGAGGTGTTTGTAAAGAAAATAAGCTAATCAACAGCAGATGTTTAGCTCCTTTATTGACAAACTCAACTGATAGTTTAAGGCTCAAAAAAATTATGAATAACTTTTAAGAGATGCAAAAGCTTAGGAATGGTTATAAATAGTAAAGATGTTAGTTGCAATGAAAATATTTATTGAGCATTTAATATATGCTACATGTACTAGGAATTTCAAGAAAATTTTAAACTATAAGGAAGCCTTTGCTTTTGAGGAACTTTCAAGACAAAAGTGGAGAAAACAAATATGAAACACTAATGATAACAAAAACAGAATAGATAAGGAGCACACATGAGTTGTTGACTCAGTGCATTAGGGGTCAGAGAAAAGAGAGATGAAATCTACCCTGGAAAATAAAAAAAAAATAGTTGTAAATAAAGAAATATTTGAACTAGATTTTGCTAACAGATGACAGACATTTCTGAAAAACATATGATGCAAGGTGAGAAATTATAATTGATTTTTGCAAAACAGCAAGTTGCACAGTTTGGCTGTAGGCCACTTTGGAACACATAGAGCAGCAGGGAGAATAAAGCTGGAAATTTAGCTGAAATTAGAGCACAGAAGGGCTGGAATATGAGCCTAGGGAGACTAAATTTGATTTAATTTTGTATGTAAAGAGTGAAAGTTTCTGAGCAGAGAAATGAGTAGCTCGTGCATATGAAAAGAAAAAAAAAAGATTAATCTGGCAATGATGTTTTAAATGGTAGTTAGAGGAAACAGCCCAGAGGCTGGAAGGCAAACTAAGGAGACAGTTCCGATTGTCCACATGAGAAGATTAAGGTCAGGGCGATAGTGGTGGGGAAGGAAATAAGGGCGCAGGTGTGGGATGGACTGCCACAGTGAACTGATGGCATTTGGCGATTGACTGGATGGGCAGAGCAGAAAAAGATTAAAAGAAAAAAGACTACAATTTTACATTCCAAATGATTTGAGAGAATGACTAAAACATTTACTGAGAGACTGCAAAGGAAAAATGGTTTAGTAATGGAAGATAATGACTGTATTACACAGCTTACTATATATGGAGTCGGGAAAATCATGTAGATTTTAAGAAAACAGTGTTATTGGCAAGAACTTGGAGCACAATATTTACAGAATTAATGTGAAAGAAGAAATAAATAAAAAAAAAGAACAAATCCAGAAATGCAAAATGAAAAGCCTAAGGCTTAGTAATGGTTCAGTGCTAAGGAAGCCCAAAAAAGAGATTCAGGTTGTGTGTTTTGCTAACAGTTTAAAAGGACCATCAAGGGTTCAAAGACAAAGGCTTTTTGATGAATAACAGATCACCGATAACTTTCAAGGAAACAACTACAGTGAAGAAGTGGAGATCAAACCACACATTGTAATGACTATACAGTAATTATTTGAGAAGGTTGGTAGTAAAAGAAAGAAAGGAAAGAAAAGCAGTGTGAGAAATATGAACAATCACACCAATATTCTTTTGGTCTAGGAGTGACCAGAACATTCCCGGGGGCAGAGAGAAGCCTTCTAGGGAGGGATGGAAAGAAGCTCCAAGGCAAAAGTGTTTTAATGAGGAGATAGGAGGAAATGAATTACTCACAAGAGGTCAGGTTAGTCTGTAATCAGGGTCTAAGGTCTAATACGTGAAATGAACATGGGAAGAGAGGAGAAATCAAAACGAAGATAAAGAAACAGTTCAGTAAACATGAGAGGATAGAGTGGAAGACACAATGAGGGCACATGAAGGAACTCTTATAACCACGGATATCGAAGATAAAACTGTTCTGACAATCATGATTACAAGAACAGTTTTCCAGTACTTTTTTTTTTTCAACAATTAAAAGTCTATATACGGGAGAACATACGGGAGAATGAAGGTAAAAAAAGATGTATTAACATTTAGTTCTGATTTTTCTTGAGTACTATCATAACACGGACGTGGAGATTTGCCATGAAAAGAGAAAATCGACCACGACCATGTACCATGGAGATCGAGGACTCTTAATCTTACCTCTCTCAGAGGATCATTGAGTTCATTGAGAATGTTTTCCTCATCAAAGATTTTGCCTTGGTATCTGTGTTCATAGTAGTCGTGTATTTTCTGACGCATATCAGCTGGTAACTTATGGAATGACATGTATTGCTCCACTTGCTTATACTGTAAGGAAAGGAAAAAGGAAATTAGAAAACACTGTTAGGCCATATGAGAAATCATCATGTTACCTTGTTGTGCTCAATTCAATAATATTTGAATAACAGTAACAAAAAGAAGAAATCCTTTGAGGGGAAGGAACTAATGTACAAGGATGTAACGTACCTACTCCATGTCACATACTCTGCGAGGGATTTATTTAGGTAAACATTTCTTGTAGAGAACTGAGTTGTGGAGGGGCATGAAAGGAGCTCAGAGTGAATTTAAAGGTGTCACCCCAGAAAAGCCAGGGACGAGACAGGAAAAAAAATGTGATGTTATTTTTTTGGAATCTTTTTTTAGCTGTGTTCTAGAAGAAGTATCATGTTATATTTGGCCCCTCATCCAAATACAGAATCTCCTAGGTTTGGGTAGAACAAATGGTTTTATCTTAGACCTTTTAGCAAAAGATCAGACCTAATTAAAATTTGAATTTAGTGACAGAGAGCTTGGCAGCTGTTCCCAAGTCATAGATACTCAAGCAACACAGATGGCCTGAAAAGTGTGAGAATATGTCACCCTTCAATTTAGGACTTAAAAGAGTATCAGGGTGAGACTAGATCCACGTAATTTTATAGCCAAAAGTTAACTTAGATGTTTAAATTCATTTAACCAAGTAGTTTTTAAGCTTAATTGTTGATAAAACTTGGGGTAAAGTTGACTTTGGGAATGCAGATTTTTCAGGCTTAACTCCAGAGATTGATTCCCTTGATGTATCTGCTTTTGTGAATTTATACATACACTCATACACACACACATACACAATTTGAAAATAAATCCCTGGTATTCAAAAAGGAACATAGATATTAGCTGGGAACTTATTAGAAGAGAATTTCAGGCTTTACTCCAGACCTATGAAATCAGAGTCTACATCTTAAAAAAAGATTCTCAGATGACCTATACACATTTAAGTTTGAGAAACATTCCCTTGATGTTGCAAATGCAGGTAGCCATGAGACCATACTTTGAAACAATTAATTAGAGCCTCCCAAATGAGTTTCATTGCATAGATGATAAAATTGAATACAAATAAAAAAGTAGGCAATAAAACTGGATAAACATACTGGAATAAGATTCTTCCCTTAAAAAAAACACACTTGCTGTGTTTTGGAGAACACATGGAAATTTTTCTTTTCCTCACATCTTTTCCTGATGACTTAGAGGTCTCCCAATTCCTTGTCCATAATTAGTGTAGTTGTAATTGGTACTTGATAACACATACATCTAATCAGAAACAGCAACCTATTATATTTCTTCAACTTTTTGGACATACTTTCCTTTCACAAAACATTCCTATTTTTAAGACATTCCCTTTTGGAGATTAGTATTCTTAAAGGAAATACAACTTTGTCATGAGACTTCTTTATTTGGTCACCAGACTGTCCCCCGAGTATTTAAAGCTTGCAGGCCTATATATATCTCTCTCTGAAGCAACTTGATTATGATTTAAGCATTTTATATTTAGACACCAATGCTTTCACTGTCACTTGTGTAAGTGGCTTCTAGCATATACTTGAGAAGGATTGGTTAATTTTTCCTGAAGAGCTCAGAATCTGTATGCCTACCTAATCTTGGTAACCCACTTCTAGAGACCTGGGATTCAGTCTGCTTGACCCTCATGCAGCTGGTCCATAAGAAAGAAGTTTCAGTGACCTCTATAAGACTGCTGTGTAGGATAAAGTTGATTTGCAGCTGGACTGAAAAAGCTCTATCTTTATTTCTAGAGACATCCATGCATCTGATTTTTTTTCTTTTAGCCAAAAAGAGGGCAGTGGGATATTTGCTGTACTGTTTAGGGTCCGAGGCTCCACTGGAAACCCCAAGTTTAACTTTCGCACTAATGCTTTGCAGCTAGTCTATCTGGTTTGATTATTCTGGCTTGACCATTTAAAGAGCTACTGAGAGCTTTGTTGTTGAGCTCCCCCCCAAATCAAGTCTCCTTGCACAGATTTTGGTGGATCAAGCCAGAAACTCAGCATGTTCCACATGCCTGAAGATTAAGCCCACGGGGAGCTCATGTTGGGGAAAGGTTCTTGGGCCTTTGATGCCATGTGTGCATTCTCTTTCTCCAAAGCCCTGTAATCCTTTGCCTTTAAACAAATGCCTCATACAAGTAAAGTCTAGTGAATCTTGTTAAATATTCAAACTTGGGAAAACAATAAAACAGCTTAAGAGCACAGGCCTGCCACAGTTTTGACACTCACTGCATTGATGAAAGTCCTTTCAGCTCTGGACAAATAAAGGATTCAACTTTCTTCAGGACCAGTAGGGGTCAAGTAATCTCTGTTTACTTTTCTGAAAAAACTGCTTGCCCAAACACTGCTTCGATTGGTGAGAATCTTTAACCTTAACCAGGGTACTAAGCTCTAGATTTCTCTGTTCTTTGCATGCATTTCAGTGGGCATGGGAGGCAGCCTTAGAAGTTAGTAGTATTTCAATTCATTTTTACAAAATTTGTGCCTATATGCAAGGGCCTACTTATCTAGAGAAAAAAATAATCTGCTCAATGTCTATCTTGAATTAGAAAACTAATCCTTGATCAGCTAAATACAAATGTTACACATAAAGTTATTTTATTTTTATGGGAAGTCAGGATTGGTGGAATGTAGTTATTTTTCCTCAGATGAATCATTTAATCCCTTTATACTTGAGTTTACTAATCTACAATAAGAGAGTGTTTCACCAAATGTTCTTTGTTCTTTCAGACTAAAGTTCTATGAATATTTCTTGTCATTTAATCATACTGAGTTCAATTTGATTTTTGAGCCCATATTACATATTTTAAACATTAATCAATTTATAGTAATTATTGACCTACCACATATTAACTGATTGCTGTGTGCCAATGGTTCTCAAACTGCAGTTAAGGTGCAGATAAATCACCAGTATCACAGGGAAGCCTGTTAGAAATGCACATTTGAAGTTTTCACCCCAGACCTACAGAACCAGAAATTCTAGCAGTCTGTATTTTAAAAAGGCCTTCCCTACATTAAAATATCAGAACTACTTCTATCTGCCCAAAACTGTGTTATCTTAGGGCATAAGGAAGCACTTTTGTGTGAGAGTAGGGGACAGAAAGGAAATTCAGTTTTGATAAGTTAAGTTTAAGATGCCTATGGCACAGCTTAATGCTTATATGTAGGTCAGGCACTTAGAAGAAAAAAATATACACATAGTCAATGACTAAGAGATCACTAAGGGATAATGTGTCAAATAAAGAGATTTAAAAAAAAGTGGAACCTACATTTTAAAAGCAGTTGGAAATTGATCAAGTTAAGGGAGCTGAGATTAGCCAGCCAGATGTGACAGAACCAAAAAACCTCGACTCAGAGCAAAGAAGGATAAAGTTTCAAGGGGCGGGATGTACTCAAAAGAAGTATATTCTAAGAAAAGAGGTACTGCACCATAACCAGTGAATTTGGAAATTGGGTAACGATCTTTGTTAGAACATAACACTTAGCGAAAACAGGAGCCACTCCTTTTTGTCTGTTTCCCTATACCTAACTAGACTTGAAAAATAATGAATGAAAATAGACCTGCCTGTGATATGAAGAATAAAATAATAATAACTCTTTGAAAAACAACCTAGTGGTAGGTGGATAATGGAATAAACTAAGTGTTGGAAGCTACATATAAGATGACAAATTTAAAAAAACGATAATATGGAAAAGTTTCTGTTAGTTGTAATACTATACAATATGTGAAAGATAAGTTGATACATTTAGTAGTCACCGGTGAAGAGACTTTTGAAAAACAAAGATGCAAATACAATTATTTCTTGAATATATAAAATCAAAAGTTCATCCCATCAGATCTAAAGAGACTATTGGGGCACAGTTGGTTAAGCATCTGATTCTTCAGCTCAGGTCATGATCTCAGGGTCTCGGGCTCTGCACCCAGTACACTCTGCTTAGGACTCTCTCGCCTTCTCTCTCTCTCTGTGCCTCCCCCCTCTAAAATAAATAAAAACATCTTTAAAAATATTAGAAGAGACTATAACATCATTATCATTTAAAATTCTAACGTACTTGTATTTTCAAAATTTTCTGTGCAATTAAAATGATACATAAAAATATTGCATGAACATACTAAAAATGAGATCTAATATATATAATGAAGACAACATTCCATTATTAAACTCACTCCGCCCATGTTACCACTTTTAAAAGGTGTTTTGTCTATATTGCTAAGTAATATGCTTCTGTTTTTAATTCTTATGTGGATCAATTATAGGCAACATTTATTGACTTTTTGCCATGGAAAGGTGGTGTAGCCACTAACAGCCCCCCATATCTTCTCACCTTCTCTCTCATTCTGCAATTGTGTCACTAGTGCTAATTCTTCCCTCGGTCTCTTTTGTAACTTTACATAACATAATTATATCTTTATTTTTTGTTCAGAAAACTCTAGACAAGTTTACCAAATGAAATGTAACAAACTCATTCTTTCATTTCTATTTTTTAACTTTTGTCATCTCTACTTTTACAATATAAAGGTGGATTGTAATTTTGTACCTGAAATTGAACCTACCAAAGCAGTTATACAGTGTTTGCATTACTCTGTTTACCACAATGCCAAGTGCAGCATTTGATGACATTTCCTTTGGTTTTGTGGATTTTTAATGACTTTTATTTTTTGCACAAGAAATTTTTTTCCAGCATCCCTATCCTAGCTGATATCCACTAGGATTTCCCTTTATAACATCCCTGGTTGGGTTTCCTATTCCCAGAGCCTATGTTTCTCTTTTGGTTTATTTATTCATGTTGCTAGAGTCAATCCCCAAGGAAATCACTAAGAAATACTAAATGTGATATAGGTTTTTGAATTTTTTCTTGTCTGAAAATATCTCTTAAACTCAAACTCAATTGTTAAACTAACCTACATAAAATTGTTAAACTAATTACATAGAATTCTAGGTTGGAACTACTCTAGTTGGATGTTGAACTTTTGCATTTGAGCCTCTATAC